GATATGTCCTCCTTTTGTGAGTGCTGTCAATTGATTTGTATCTTATTATTGACGATTTATTTTCAATTTATTTCCATTTGTTAAAGAAAACCTAAATGTGACTCCCCCCTCCCGACTGCACACTTGGTTTCTCCCGCTGCCCTCGTTCAGATCCTCTTAAACATTATAATGTTTTTACATCGACTGAAATCCACAACCAGCTGTAAACATTTGAAATAAACATTTAATGACATTTTAAAAGATTAAAAATAATCCATCCGCACATATTGAGTCAGTTATAAAACAATTACAAGGTAGAAGAAGGAGCAACCGCCCTCTCACCTACCGCCGTCTCCATAGCAACCCCTAACGGTCACTATCAGAAGGACACCTCCATTTTGTGTCAGGTCGATTCACCGCATTGTTCCCGTCCAGAAGCTCAAACAGGCAGCAAATGTTACGGTTTTCACATTAAATCAGACGGAAACCAAACGGAACAAACTGAAAAACATTGTATTAAAACATAGCTGTTAAATTCTGCTTCGTTTTGGGTAAATTTGTAGTTTTAAAGTCCCGTGAACTTGCACCGCCCGGTGAGCTAACGGCAGCTAATCACTGCGAGGTGTAAAAATATCCACTTTAAATCGATATTTAATGAATTTATTTCATCGATTGCTTGGAGTCACAGCATAATCAGTGGGTTTGTTCTGTTTCTCTGCAGTTGTTAAGGCTTGAGTGAGGATTACAGACCCATGCACAATGATGAAAATGTCCATTTTGAAGGTAAGTGAGCTTTTGTTCACTAATTACTGTCAGTTAACGGCTGATACCTAATGCTGACAGTCAGCACTGAGAAACACTTTAGGAGCTGTTTGTGGACAAACATGGACACATGATGCTGTTCTGGGAGGTTGGTTGTGTTTCTGGTGTTTAATCATTAGAGTTATATTAACTGACCTCAACGTTTAGCTTGTGAATTTACCTTAAAAGCAGTTTAAAGTGTGATTTTATGGCAAATTGGTGCCTTACAGTGAACATAATGAATATAAGTGAAGATAAAAGTATAAAAAGGTAAAAAGAGAGACAGTATTCACAATATAATGTGAGATTTATCAGTGTGACAGACTGTGTAATAATATTAAAGAAGATATAAAGCAAGGGGAGGGCATTAATGGGAGCAGATATTCAGGGTGGGTTTAAGAGTCAGAGGGAAATGTTTGACACAACAGCTTTATAAAGAGTTAAAACACTAATCAGGAAGAAAATGTGTGAACTGCAGTTAAAGCTCAGTGTTAAAGGAAGAAGAGAGGAGGTTGTTCTGTCCACATTAGGATGTAATAACACTGGTTTTAAATAAGACGCCATATATCTGTCAATATAATCACAATATAATGTTTTCACTATATCGTGCAGCCCTAAAACACATGAGCAACATCTCATTACAACAATCAAAAGAGGGGGGAGGCTGTAAGAAGACTTTAAACTACACACAGTCGGCCTATATCTCAGCATTGTGTTCATTTCTATGAAGAAAACTAAATGAAATAGTGTTTTTCTGTGAGTTTAGACGGTTTAGAGAGTCTGTCTGATTGTTAAAAAACACATAATACAGACAGAGAATTGTATCAAAGGTTACTAACAATATCAATAAAATATCACAGCAAATAATCTGCTCCAAATTCATCAATCTCTGCTTTTACCCAAACGTTGTGCTGTTATTGTTCACTGTGCAGTTTATTCATGGAATAATAGAAGAATCTGAAATATATAATATGATAATAAATATGAAGCGTCCATAAAATATGTCAGTTGGTCGGGGCTCGTCAGTTCACTGGTAGAGAGAGGTTGTGACCCGCTGCTCTCTCTCTGCAGATCCAGAACCCGTCCTGCCTCTGGGGTCGGGTCGTCCGGGGTCTCGGTGGCGACGCGGTGACGGCAGAACAGTACGACGGTCTGCTGGCTCAGATGAACCTCTTCTACCACGACGTCACTCAGGACCTACGCGAGCTGAAGCCCGAGTCGCTGGAAGAGGGACAGGTAATGCAGTACCCGAAGTCTGTCTGCACCTTTTGACACACCTGGTCCAGGTAGGGGAGGCCTCCTTTGGACCGGAGGGGGATTGGATGAGTGTGTTTCTGCTCTCAGGTGTGTGTGGTGTACTGGTCGGTGATGAAGTCGTGGTGTCGGGCCGTGGTGGAGTCGGTCATCGTGGACTCGGTGTCCTGTAAGGCTCGCTGCTTCCTGGTGGACTACGGAGAACGGCTCGTCGTCCCCTCGGACCAGTAAGACCGTTTTATTCAATGAGTCCAAATGCAAGATGATTGGACGATATTTGAGCGGCGTACTGGGCTCCAGCGGTACTTTGTTTCAGGGTGATCCCGTACCTGTGCTGTTGGGTTTTTAACCTC